AGATGGCGATGAGTTTGTTTTTCTTTTGTTTGTTTGGTGAATCATGCAGCCTTGGCTCCTCTCCTCGCCAGCACCTATCCAATGCCCTATATAAAAATTCCTTTCTGTTTAAATGAGCTCAAGTGGAATCTCTTGCCTGTGCTCAGTACATACTTCTTGGACACATTGAATGACTGCTTCTAAGAGTCCTTACTGATGATGATACTGTCGGCAGACCAAAATTTACAAGTATTTCAGAACTAAGAGTTTAGATCACAAAGATGCAAACATGCCAAGCTTTTGAGAAGCAAGTTGCTCTGGAAGGTGGCAACTTCCAGGGTGGTGCTGCACCTGGCTGGCAAAGCCCAGATGGAGGGATCAGGAAAGACCTGTAGGTTGTGTCCAGACATTGATTATGCAATACTACTAAACCCAAAATTCTGATGCCTCCCCATACTGCCTCTAGTCCCCAAATGACCGTATCTCCTAAACATCAGTCCGATGAGGTATTGGCCTACAAGGGAGAGGAATGAGGGTATGTTTTCAGACTAAGATGGTAGATGAGTGCCTGGCATATCAGATGACACTCAGGAGCAAAGGTCAGAATGGTTAGAAGAAAAGAATGAATGGAGGCCGGAAACACAGAAAGGAGGTGGGATGAATGGGGTTACATGGAGGGGCTTGCAATGAATGAGATGAAGCAAAAATATATGTGAATTATTGAATGTAAAACTGATGATCTGCTCTGTAAACTTTCATCTAGTTCATAAAATTGTTGTGTGTTTTTTTTAAAAGGACAATTCTTTTTTCTTCTTGGGATAGATCTCCCCTGGGCTCCAACTCACTATGGGGAGTGGGAAAAATGTGCTGGGGTCCAGCAGACTCTGCATATGGTGAGGCAAGGCAAAGCAGAAGATTGAATTGGGCACAGTGTGCAGGAAATTCTATAGACAATGCACATTGGCTATCATTCATCCAAGTGATTCTGATTTCATTAGATGTCAGAATAGATGGATAGAAGAGAAATCACTTTTTAAAAATAAAAATGGGCAATTCTTGGTTTAAAAAATATTAAACCAAATGACATATTACACTGGACAAACCTGCCACAAGAGACCTCTTTATAGATTTATAAAGCAAGATGTCACTTTCCATGACTATCCTATATCTGACGCTAAGCATTGTCCTTCCAATGGTCTTTATACGCATGTGCAACTTGGCTAGTGAACAAGGTTCGTGGCACTTTTATGAAGGGTGGAACCATGCAAATAAGGTGTATAGAATCTTGGCTTGAGGATTGGTCAGTTTTGCTATTCAATTAAGCTTAAAATGAGTAGGCTCCAAATGTAGAAAGGGACAAAAGGAACAACCAAACCAAGCCCACTGCCATGAATTGGATTCCAACTCCTACCCTGTATCCCCGAAAGTAAGACATCCCCCGAAAATAAGGCCTACTTGCAGTTTTGCCTCTCTCTGAAATATAAGGCATCCCCCCCCCGAAAATAAGACCTCCCCAAAAATAAGGCCCACCATAGCTAATGTAACTCTGGACTCTGGACCGTAGCGGTGGGCGCCGCAGCGCAGCTTACTGTTGGCTACAGCACAGCCAGAGCAGACAGGAAGTGTGAGGTCTCTTTTAATAAACAAACAATGTGTACCGTACTCTTCTTCATGAAAAAATAAGATATCCCCTGAAAATAAGACCTAGCGCATCTTTGGGAGCAAACATTAATATAAGACAAAGGAAGTGGTGTTAACAAACCCAGGGACAAGGGAACAACAAGCGATCCAAATTAGTTGTGAGGTGGGTGTGGGAGGCCTGGTAGGGCATGATCAATGGGAATGTAATGGAGGAATTGCTGAAACCCTGGGGGGATTGAGCATGATAGTGGGACAGGAGGAAAGTCAAGGGAAATAGAGGAAAGAGCTGGGAGGCAAAGGG